CCTTTGTTCAACCTGAAATGACTCATTTAATCATCCAAAACGTTATGGAACACATTAATTAACTGAAAAATGTTGCATAGTATGCCTTTAAGGTTGGTTTTTCTTTCTTAACACAGATGGCTTCCTTTACGCTCCTTAAAACAACCTTAATCAGAAGGGGTGGACCCATTCATCCGGTTCAATTTGCATGTTTTCTAAGCCAAAACCAGGCTACTGTATAAAGCAACTGACCTCTATTTCTGACATTGTGAATTGAAAAAGCTTCCTGGATCATAAGACAAACGTCTTCAAACTTGGAAACAAAGTCCAGTTTTTAACTTTTTTTTGGAATACTTTGATAATATTTGTCACATTGTAACTGATTGGTACAAAAACCCAGAAACAACCATAAGAAAAGTGTAGAAAACAGGTTTAGATTATGAGTCTGGACCTAGATGAATTCAGAGGCATTTGTTTCTAATGCAGCTTATCAAAGCTTTTTTGGGACATTTCGTCAACAAGTAGCTGGACAGAAGGAAGGGCAGGGAGAGAAGAGGAGGACAACGGAGATAACTGCGGCGAGGAGCATAGCCTTTGCACATGGAGCACCTGCTCTACCCCCCCAGCCTTATTGCGCCCCTCATGATTCATTATCTGTTTGTCAAATATTTGAGAACCATGTGTCATCTTCACAGTACCATCTTGCCCTTGTTCATACGCTGCTAACACGGATTTAAAAATGAAGAAAAAATGTCAAATAAGAGTATTTGCCAGTTTAATAGGATGAGCTGCCAATGGAATGAGCATTTCTGTCTTTAAAATAATTAAACTAGATGTTTTACTCTAGATGGCGATAAATAAAGATCCTATACAGTAAATCATTTTATTCCACTGGCATATTTTCTTATCTGCTGGAGTTAAGGGAAAATAAAGGAAAAAAATCCCACAAATTCTCAGTCATCAGAGTCACGTCAACCACAAACTGCTTTGAGATGAAGGAAAACAGTTGACTCTGCTGTGAGAATTGACAAAGTCTCCACTAAAACTCCTTCCTACAGCAAAAACAGATCTAAAAATAAGCAAGAAGTTCTTAAAAAGTATATTTGTCCTTGAATTGAGGAGGTAAATAAGAACATCCACAGATGGAAACAGTATTTTTGCCCTTAAATCAACATTAGATTAGATATTTTGCAATTGAAATAACAATTTTGTTATTTGTTTTTGTTAAGTTGTTTTTCTCCTTTTTTTAAATGTAAATATTATTCCATTGGCAAATAGTCTTATTTATCTGTTCAACCAAGGGAAAATACACTTCTTTAAAGAAAATGTAACCTGTTTAGATTTAAAAATTAGGACATAAGCTGCATCATCCCAGTTTCAGAAAGGAAAATGTAGCTTTGCTTACTTTTGCGATGCACAGCCAGCATTAATGGCCGGTCGCTTGGGTGCAGATTAAGCAGAATGGGAGTCCCAATCAGGTCCTGAGGAAGGTAACCCAGCAGAGGCACGGCCCTGATGGACGAACACAAACAGCTGCTTTACTGCGGAGCCGCACAGCAACAACAACACGGCCGTTCATAGACCGGCTCCAGTCTACCCACCTCTCATCCACATCCTGGAACACGCAGTTAGGGGTGTGTGTGGTGGTAAAGATGCGCTTGTCTGGAGGAATCCTGGGAGCTGAGCAGAGAGAAAACGACCATAAATTTAAAGTTTAAAAGTCACTTAAATGCTAATATACATGTTTTCAAAGCAGGAGGCTTCCACATCTGTTTAATCTGATCAAACATAAAACAGCAGCTAGCATCGGATATATATGTATAGGGACTAATAGGACATGGAATAAAAGGAGGAACAGAGAATATTTGGACTTTCACATGAGCTACGGTTACACTTAAAGAGTCTATATCTTGCAAAAGGTTTCAACTGTTGTAATGCCATTTATTTCTTCATTAAAACCTTAAATCAAGAGTTATTTTGCTTCATTCTTACATCTCTGAGTAATCCTCATGAGTTCTGCAGCCTGAGCTGCAGCCCCTCCTCCTTTAGAGAATATTTACTTATGATCCGGCCTTTCCAGGAAGCAGCTACCCTAACCACGCTGCGCCTGCACTGTAAACAGACGTCCACTTCCTCCAATCAGAAGCACGGCGCAATGATTTTAGCTCAAAGTTGAGCCCAAGCGGCTCTTTTAGCAGCTAATCTGCACAGGGCAACAACCTCTCATTTTTATGCTAATGTCCAAATTCGGAAAATCAGTTATTTGGCAACAAAATGGATGTGACTTTACTCAGCCGTCAGAATCGGTTCGATACGCTGGCCGTTGAAGCCGAGTGTTTTTCTTTAGAATAGAATAGAATAGAATAGAATTCAACTTTATTGTCATTGCACTGTCACAAGTACAAGCAACGAAATGCAGTTAGCATCTATCCAGAAGTGCTATTTAGCTTTGAAGAAAATATAATTTCCTTTATATATTTGCCAAAAGTTGCCTTAAATTTGACAAGAATTATCGGATGACAGGCTAAACAATTGGGGAAGTTTGCTGGTCACAACAGAGCTAGTTAGCACACAGAATGTACAAAATTAAATATCTGGAAAATACTTAAACGTATTGATAAAAAATAGCCTGTAGAGCTAAGTTCTAACCTTCGTAACCAGAGTGCACCCTCTCAGCCAACAGGAGGCAGCAGAACTGCTCTTCCGACAGCTCCGCGTCTTGGACTTTCATCAGGTAGGGCGTCATCCGGAAAGGATAGTACTGGAGGTCCCCCTCCCGTTCCTTCCCCCCACTGCAACATAGACACACGGTTCTAACTAGTTCCACTCAATCACAGCTCATTTAATACGTCTGTATAGATCCAATTTTTATACCCTCATTATTTACTACATAAAAATCAGAAATTATACCAAGCGGAGGTCACTGGAGGAGGAGGGGGAGCAGATTTAGAGTCCCCCTCCTCCTCCAGTGTTCCTCTGCTCTGACTAAGAGTTTGTTCTGAGCAGGAAACTATGGATCAGAGCAGCGGCGGTCTCTGTGGCTCACCTGATGCGGCAGAAGAAGGATTTCTCCTGCATGCACTCCGTGGGAGACGACTCTGAGGAACGGACGGAAAGAAAGTGTCAACAAATGATTATCTGCACCGCTTCCAGTCTGCTCAGCATCAATATTAACATTTTATCCCCATCTACGGTTAAGAGTGCGTTAGCAGTTTAGATGGGACAGGTGGATGTGCTGGAAAATATGTAAATGATCCCGCTAATTAATTACATGCAATGTGTTCATTAGCATGTGGGTGTTTGGTGCTCGCTGGGTTGTGTTTCATGTGGATTTGCAACGTGCTTTCTCTTGGCATTAGGAACGTATGATCTAAGTACACGGTGCAAGAAAGCTTCTCCATTCTCCACATACCTGCTCCGGTGCACATGCTCCACGAGGGGAGGCGGTACGGCGTGGTGAAGCTGTAGAACACGCTGACATCCTGCGGCGTCAGGAACTCCACAAACTTAGCATTGTTGAAAACTTCCCGCTTACAGTTCAGGATGGAGGCAGCCTGGTCCGAGATGTAAACAATCTTCCCCGTGATGAGGGACACCGCTACAGCAAATATGTCCTAAGGGGCAGAAATATGAGCATTTATTCAATAACCAGAAAGATTCCTGATGGCGTCTTGTTCTTTATTACATCATAAATGGTCAGACATCTTCAGCTCAAGGCTTATTAGAACCCGCTCACTCCTAAATGAGAGGAGAAAGAGACCATTTCCTTCGAGATGCTGCTGGTTTTTAAAAGGTTATGGCTTTAAAAATGCTAAAAATCAATTTCATTTCATTGTTGTTAAAGTTTAAAAGCTGCTGGAGAATAAAATGAGGTAAACAACATTTTCAGCTTTTAGATTTTTGCATTTTCTGTGCATATCCGGTTATTTCTCCTCCTCACGCAAATAAACAACGGCCATCTTTTCAGCCAGCCTCTACACTTCCAAAAAGAGTGATTCCCGTATTTCTACAGGAGTTTGCTTTTGAGTTTATTGCCTCTAAATAAGACTTCGATAAACCCCTCTAACAATAAAACAAAAAAACAAAAAACAAAGCAAGACGTCACATTGTTTCCCGTCTTTTAGTGTCACAATGCAGTTTCTCAACTGAAATTAGTTTGCTCCATAACTGTGATTATTAATTGATTTATTCATGAAACCAGCCCTATTTTTTTTTTTTTACTTGCCCAGTATAATGTTTGATAAATATTACGGTTCAAAAATCCACGGTTCGGTTCGGTTCACGGTTTTCGGTATATGTTGATTGTTACACCGAAATCCCATAAAAATGACTGAAATTAATGAAAAAAAAAAAAATGAATGAATTGTAATTATTTTTAATG